AGTGAACGTGCGAGTTATAATATCCGGGATTAATTCCGCGTGGAAGAAGATGCAGACGCTCGTTGTCGTTAACAATTCCACCGGAACGTCCACTTCAATCAAGCCTAGATAATCTGACAATAAAGCCCTTCTGCATCACGATGAGCTATCGTCTGTTTAGGCAAACTTGAGTGAGAACGGATAGAAATTTTGCGAATTTAGACTTGGACGATCCCCAATCCGAGCCTCGAGCAGAAGAAAAACGAGAGATTAAAATTTAACATCCTTTCCATTGCCTTCGTTTGTCGAGGTGATGATATATATCTGTCATTGTGCTCGTCGAAGGGACAACGATATTTCCGTTTCGCGATTAGTTCCTTCTAGAATGAGCTTCGAATTGAAAACATTTCCACCTCCTTTGGCGCACGATTTTCTGGAACTGGGTTATCCATCGTCGTGTTTCAAGGCGGCGCGCGCAGTAATAGATTCGTCGGGTTTATCCGAGTGTTGCTTAATTATCGCCTTGTAGACGCGCGGATCGCTTGATACAATGAGAGAAGATCAGGAAGGAAGATCGTGCGCACGACGACGACGATAATGGATCTCGTTTGTGCGCTGTAATCTGCACATGCACGACGTTCGAGACTCCGCGAGGCGTCAATTCAACATTTCAATTCAGTGAGATTCGTTTCAGAATCCTTTTGAATTCGTTTCAGAATTCTTGGATAATTTTTGGTGACGAAACAAATGCGACGACATACAACGACGGCGACAACGATTCAATTCAGTAAACTTATGTTAGTTGTTTGTAAGTTGGTTACAAATGAAAGACTACATTGGTCAAGAAGCAGATCATCATTAGATACATAAAATGAATTTTCTGGTGTGATTTTCCCTGGCCTATAACACAGAGTATTTTAACATACTGTATTTAGGAAATGAGCACGTTTGTCGTTGAATAATACAAAGTTAAACAATATAGCGAAATGATTAAACCAAGTTAAACGAAATATAAATGCAGCTCAAACCTTGAGATACTTCGATATGATTTAACAGTATTTGAAAATCTTAAAATTAATCGTAAAATTATGAAGGAGCAAAAGCTTTCTCAAACCTTGTCAATTCGTACCGATATTATCGATCGATTATCGAATTCTCTGGTTCCACGTGAAACGCGGATAAACAACTCGAAGCAATCGACCGTGAGTTTGTTCAGTTCGGAATTTCGTTTTCTAGGGATACGTCGATGAAAGTAATTTTTCAATTACTAGCTCCTGTGAAACTGCACCAGCAAAAACATTCGACTAGAGGGCGTTGTCGAAATTTCTCGGCCGGGAAATCTCGATACCGATGCTTTCGAGATCGCGTAAATCTCGGTTCGAGCGCCGGTGAAATTCAATCGTCGGCGGCAGCGAGTTTTAGTTGGCGAAACAAATAAAAGCCGAATAGTTGGCCGGGACGAAATTTCGGTGCACGGAACGCCGCCGCCGACGACGACGAGTTCGCGTGCCACGGTTTCATATAATTACCCTTGATCACCAGTCAGAAAACTCCCGAATTAGCGACAATAGTCATGCAACGGGAACGTCGTTAATTGCAGCTTCTTGCAGCCGAAATCGAGGACACGAACTACTGGAGCGTTCGTAGCTCGTGCGTTTCTGTTAATTACTGTCACAAGATCCATTGTACACTCTTGTTCGTACTCAACGCTTGGAAACTTTCATGTATATATAATATATTACGTGTGAAAGGTATTTTGAAATTTTACCAACAGGACAACAACGTCCGGATTTTATTGGCAAAAATTTGAAACTGATCTGAAAATGTATGCGTAGCGACGAATTTCATTTCATGCAGGTGCGAGATATCAGTCTTAGATCTTCTTCCGAAATTACGATATTTTACTGCAAGTACGATGTGAAATGCTGTCTTAATCGATAAATGAATAAAAGATGGTCCCGTTGAATATTGACTAAACTTACTAATACAATGACTAAATGATCGTTCAAGTATTTTTGTTATTCGTAGGAAATATATACTTGCGCCGAAAATATGATAAATCTCAAAGATCGTTTCGAACGTTCAGGCTCGTTGATACAACGAATAATCGACTGTTTAAACAATTTTGTAATTCCTCTAAAATATGATTCGCGAATTTTTCGCAGCAAGTATTTTCAGGTGAAATTTCAGACTAGACATTGGCTGCGCGACTCGGCTTTTAAAGGAATTTACTGAACACTTTGCTTTGAATATTTCCTGCATCTTTGCGTGTTTGCGTCCAGTATATTTCCGCATGTTTAAATTCTCCACAAACCGAGACCTCTCACACACATACACACACTGATGTTGTGCCGATGGTAAAATTTCAGGATGTTCCGCGTAAATTCGTATTCGTGAATGATTCTACGTAAGTGAGTTCGAACGTAGAATTTCTCGCGAGCGGGAATTGTTGCGTGTGTGTCAAGAAGGTTGGCCTGTCCGACCAAGGATTTCCATTTTGACGAGGCGGTTCAGTGAAATGGGACCGGACGGCGCGCGTATTACACGAAATGGTCGGTAATTAAACTGGACCATGCCTATTTCGGCCTCGAGGAAGTTGTTGCCGGCCCACGCCGGGGAAAAGATACAGCCAGTGGGAGCCTCGTACGTATTTATAACATTTGCTAGAATAGATATGTGGGACATCGTGAAAAATGTATGCCCACCACGGATCCCGTTTGGCAATACTCCAAAGTAATCTACGGTCCACGGTCAAACACGTTTTTACCGGTCAGCTAGCTACAGCCAACTACGAGATGCCTGTTTTCTCTTCTGCCTTCTTCATTTTCACCGAGAGATACTCTCCCTCCGCAGTGAGCTACACCCTTTCACCCTGGCAGCTGAGAAACACAGTTTCCCTGTTCAAAGATACCAGCCACTTCTACATCTGCCGTGTTGCCGCATTGTTCCTCGCGGAAACGCTCGCAACCAAGTTGTTTTGAAGCAACCGGCGCTACGCATTTCTCACCGTGTTTCTTGACGAAATAAACGGCTCTCTCTCGGTTGCTACGCAGTATTTACCCTCGACTACTTCATAAACGGTAGACTCATCTAGCTCTCCAACGTTCAACTACATTGTTCAACTCGATGCATATGCAACACGTATGTACATACGTTCATCGTCAAGGGGATAGGCTAGTTCGAGCTACAATGTGAAATTAACAACAACGTTCTCTCGCGCGTTTTTCTTCTCTCGTAGAAAGAGAATCCCTCCCTCCCTCCTTTTATCTCTCCAAGTGTGTTCTCCGACTCGAGAGCGAAGCTCTTCACGTAGAAACGTTCGCCACCGAATGCCACCGGTTTTTCTCCTTCGAGAAATCGAGCGCACATTATGCAAAGAGGATGAATCTCGTTTCCGTAGCTAGCAGCGGATAGTCCAACTTTTTTGCGATGGGGAAAGAAAGGCTCGAACGATAACGATA